AGCTCAAATGACATGGTAGGTTTATTTTTCATTGAACGTTCACTTGCGATAGATACGGCGGCTTTGACCAATCAGAATACGAATTAATTTTTTTACTTAGGAAAAGGAAACGCTGATTATCGTCATATCATCATGTCACTGGGAGAAAAGCTTCGAATAAAAGGTTCGCTATCAGAAGTTACCGGTCAATCAATCTCAGCTGGCATTAGTGTTTTAACCAAGATTGGTTAATGATAAATATTAGTTGCCATTATAAAACAAAAGCGCACAGAAAGATCCAAAAGGATAACTTTTTAAAATACTAGTAGCGTCAAAAGACCAGAGTAGTGTCAAAGGAGCTAATCATAACACCACTGACGATTCTCAACCGACTGATCATCGTAGCCTACTTTCAGACAAATCAGCATCGAGATCTGCAGAGCAATACGCGAGAGCATTTGATTTCCCACCAATCAAAATCTGCCCAATAAACAAAAATACCAAGCTGAATGGAGAGGCAGTCACATGAAATTCATTAATAATTTTAAGGTCGAACACTGTCAGTCTTTTAAAATATCATTTTGGGAAATTAGTAACGCAAATGTTTTGCTTTATTCACAAAATTGTGATACATTTTCATCCTTACTAGAGGAACGAAAATATCCGAGATTAATAGGAAATTTGAAGTTTGAGATAGTTTACACGTAGAATTTCGTTCCAGTCATCTCTCTTGGTTCTGGGTATGATAGTCTATACAAATATTGGCGAGTTACTTCATGGTGTACAATGTATCTATCCATCAGTTATTACAGTAGTAAATCAGCCAACCTACCAATCCATAACCACTGAATCATTCACAGTATCAACTCTTTCCATAGTTGCAATTATTAATCAGTTGGGTTGTGCAGCTGCTTGAATCAGAGTCATCCCTAGTGAAAGTACTCATACAATGAGTACAACTTTACTCATAATTCATCCATGAGTATTCATATTACTGACACTTTTTGAGTATTGTTACTCAGAGAATATTCATTCATTCACCGTTTTATTTGGCTAAACTGGAACTGTATAAAGAACGCAGAATTTAGTGAAGAAACATCGAATATTTATATTATTATTTCTTCACTGGTCTCTCTGTATATAGTCAGGGATGGACTCGTCTATGACTACACTTTTAGTCCTACTCCGGCTGCCTGTGATCACTCCTCTATATGAAAATATCAGATGAACAATACTTATGAGTATTTTGTTAAAAGTTATATGAGTACTCAACAATACCCAAGCATGAGTACACAAAGTCGTACCCACAGTACTCATTACTCACTCATGAGTACTCGGGACATTTTTCAGCAGAATACGGCTTTGAGTACTCACACCTGAGTACATTCACTAGGGATACGTCCGTTGAAAAATTCTACAAACTGAATCTTAACGATTCTGTAGCAAAACAAGCCAGCGTCATAAACACTTCTAAATCGTCTCCCCTTCCTGATATACTTTCAGATTTTTCCAGTTTGTAGAAAACACCTTCACGGGTATAGGTGTCCAATAACTCGCGGGTCTGATAAGTATTGATAGGATAGTGAAATTTTTAAAAATTGGAAAAGTCGATTTCACTCTAAAAAGTAATGAGTTGCATGTGTTGCAAACGGCGACACAGGGATGCATTTGTGATACATTTTTTATGTTACAGTTACAACACATAATTTTCCGACACATGCGTCACACTGTAAAAGTCGTCCAAAAAAAGTTTATTTTTTCGCGTATTTTTAAGCTTTTTGGAAAAAGAGATCCTTCCCAGGACGGTCAAAACGGTACCGCTTGCTGCCCGCAATATGGCAGTAAACGATAAAAAAAGGGTACCATTACGTAACGGCCCATATTTCACCGTAAGAGCGTACGTAGTATTACGGTCCATATTTTCTCTGTACACACTCCCGTAGAACGGCTCAAATCTCACGTAAAATAAGCGGACGTTCGTATACGGTAACCTATACAGACCATCGTAAATATATCATTTTTTAATCGTTTACTACCGTTTTGGGAACTTGTGTGGTGTCTCAATATTTCACTTAACAATCTCTAAGAACTCTGCTTTTCGAGATACAGTTTGACCGTAGCTAAGGCCCTTATTCACGGGAGGCCGCTAGATATCGGATAATGACATATGACGACACTTATGTGCGACACATTCCTTCTAGCAACACATTATTTTTTATAGTGTTTCCTAGCTATTTTGTACCTAGTGCAAAAAGTAATTCTTACCAAGCGCGGCTGATTTTTAACTTGAGAATTCAGCTATGCAAAAGATAATTATTGGTAATTTCCTTTACCATTAGCCGATTAAGTTAATTGAACTTCGATGTCGAATATACTGGCCCGAAAACGTAACACATTGTTACACTTTTAGCGTGATTTTGTAACGTACTCATTTACCGTAACATTTTGAGACAATGAATCGAAAATATATAAGTTAAATTTTTCTCAAAAAGCTGATGAGAATACTGAAAAAAGGTGAAGTGTGAGCAAGAGCATAATGAGCAAATATAGAAAATCTGAATTTACTCTACATCAGTTAACGTGCGAAGGACATCATAATATTATTTATACTCTAGACTTGCTCTGTCTATATACAAAGGTGCTAAAAATTAATTATTGTCTGTAGAAAGTCATCTATATTTGCCTCCGGGTATCAATTTTTTTGATCACCAAATTTATTCATTGCGAAATGATCACCAAAAAATAAGACTTTTGAGCACCAAATCATTAAAGAAAATTTAAGTTAAAGAAAATATATACAAGAAGAATATATAGCAATTTGATAGCAAATTAATTAGTGGACAGTATATACAAGAAGAATAATATATAGAGAAAAAACTAATCACCAAACCAATTAAAAAATCACTAAATCAATTAAAACTAACTTTATGGCAACAAGACTGTACGAACTTTTTCGCACGACCTTTATCTTTTCTCTTATCCAATGGTTCACAACGCATTTTGTCCGAGACCTGGTACATGTTGAATAAAATGCCTAATCCAACTGAATGTTTCCAGGTATATGCTGGATTTGTATCGATCTGGTCAATGGGCATCATTTGACGATTTTGTGCCATGGCAGACATCATGTTGGTTGGTGTCACCGCTTACATTGTGTACGTGTCCAATTGGCCTCAAGCAATATATCTACAGACATTCAGTTGGATTAGGCATTTTATTCAACATGTACCAGGTCACGAACAAAACGTGTTGTGAACCATTGGGTAAGAGAAAAGGTAAAGATCGTCCGAAAAATGTTCTTACAGCCTTGTGACCATTAAGTTAGTTTTTCCTTGTATATATTTTCTTTAATTTAAATTTTCTTTAATTCGTTTGGTGATCAAAAGTCACTTTTTTTCGGTGTTCAAAAGACATTTTTCCCTTTGCGTACTCTTAACGACTAAAAAAACCAGATGCTGATATCATATCTATTACGTGTAGTTTTCAAATTAGGTGGTACCTGATCAAGGTAAAAGTTCCTTTTTCAAAGAACAATATTCGAAAAATACGTTTTTCCTACGAAAACTGAGTGTTTTTCTTTTTTGTTTCTGTAACCGTTGTTTACAGGCTGCATGTATTTCGAAAATGTCTTAAATTAATTCAGAAGATAAAATGGTGAATTAAGTAATCAAAAATGAAACTAAAAACTTTTCCGTTTTTTGAATACATTGATATTCATTTGGATACGGTGGCAGAATTGAGAAAAACGCGTTGATACAAGCGTTTTGCGCCTAGTAAATCGTAACCATATATCTATAGGTATATAGACGGTAATACTTTGTACGTTATTACTTTAGTAATATCTTTTAGAAATTAATTTTTCAAAATAAATTCAAGTAAATATAAATAAAAATGTTTTTTCTTTCTAACTCAATCACTCGCCTGTACTTTTCAAAAAAAAAAGCATGGACAAAACTTATCAATTCTCTTTCTTACAATAGTCGAATATGCAAGGTCGACAATGATTATCGACTGGTTATCATAATCGTCAGAAAGTCTTAAGACAGCCATTTCTTCCAATATGCTGGAATGATTTATAAAAGGAAATTCTTATATAGCGTAGTGCAATATTCGGTTTTTTAGATTGCAGTGAGATAAGCAGCTTTTCAGTGAAGGAAAAAACTGCATAAACATTGTAGCCGTCACTTCAAACAACAGGGTCTTTGGCCGCCTTCACCGATGAAAAATCTTTAAAAATGGGAATTTTTATCCGCGTGTATGTGTGTATACTTATGTCTATTCTCTCATTAGTTTCTACGCTCGATACACTGCTCATTCGGCTGTTTTTTATAATTGTTTCTGTACGTAAAATTTTTTAATTTCTTGCATTGTTAAAGAAAATATGCTCCGAGTACTATACGGAAAATTGTGAGGAACCCAAAAACGCCATCGCCCCGATAGCAGAAAAGAATTAGCCATCAGCTGATCACTCGACTGACCGCTACCTCTAAATTTGAATGTTTTTCTACTTAGGTTTTTCATTATCAGAAACAATAGAGAAATAAATCAATAAACAAGACATTTGTAATTTATATTTTCTTGTCGTTTAGTTTTAGATTAGAATAGTGATATATGCATCTTACTTTTTCTTAAAATTTATTATTTATAGACGATGGTATCAACGATTTCTCCTTTAGCAACTTATCAAGATGATTTGATAACTGACACTGATGATAGTGAGATTGAAAATCTTACTATTTGTTTTAAGTGTATACAAGATCTGCCAGAAGAAATATTATTGAGAATATTTCAATACTTATCTCCTTATCGGTATGAAATGTTTTAGTACTTTATTTCGGCTAGCTTTTGCTTGAGAACTGAAAGTCTTAGTTGTACTGTTGCCTACTTTCTTAATGCGAGTGAAATTAGCCACGGTTTTAGAAGAATTAAGACTTTTTCTTCCTTCAAAAAAGATGATAGTTTTCATTCTTCTTCCACTTAATGTATAAACTTTGTTTCATTCAAGTGATTACAAATCTGTGATGTTTGTTTGTAAACAATGGTATCGTATATTGTCTGATGTTCGAAAATGGCGTTTATCAACATTTTATTCATCCTTTTCTGACTCCCCGCCACATATTCATTGGCGTATTTACGATACACCATTAAGACTGAATATCACGCCTCGTTTCAATCATGCAGTATGTTATGTTGACTCATATTATATGTACGTATTTGGTGGAAATCGTGATATTCTTACAACGCTCAATGATTTTTGGAGATTTGATATATCAACAAGGATGTGGGAACGAATATTGGCTACAGGCACATATCCACCGCCCAAATCAGCAGCTACATTCATTGAATTTGAACAACAACTTTATTTATATGGAGGAAAATCAATGATTCACGTTGATGACGTTCATGTACGACAACAGCAACACAGCGAGTAATATCAGCAGTTTTCTATAAAATGTTATATGTGTAATCTAGGATCAGCATGTTTTGTTTAGATTACACATCTATTCTCTTGATCGTAATTGTTGGTATTTGCAATCTTCGATAAATGATCCTGGTGGTATTGCCGATCATAGTGCCTCAGTTCTCAATCGTTCAATGATAGTATTTGGCGGTCTACTTGAGAGTAGACGGCAAAAATCAAATGAATTATACGAATATAAGTTTGATGAAAAGTCGTGGACAAAAGTCGACGTTAACGGCGTGAAACCAGAACCTAGACAAGGTAATAAAAGTATTTATTGGTATCTACCATACATTTATAATCAAATTTTTAAAGGAAAAACATACGAAGAAAACTTATTGGAAATTTTATGGTTTGAGATACATTTTATCGCATCAATGAGACGTATCTCATCTACCATCTCTTAAGCACTTCTTTTTCTTCGTAGGTCAGTCTCAATGTACATATAATAATGATTATATACTAATTATTGGAGGATGTATTGGAGTTGTTAACCCTTCGTCGTCGCCGGCTCGTGCTGTATGGTTATTTTGTTATTCTGTGCGACAATGGACGCAAATTATAGTTCAAAATTTCGATTTTTGTCCAGAGGAAATAGCATCGATACCTACGTGTATTTTACCCAACAAACAGTATGCCGTTACATTTGGTAGATGCAAAAGAATTCCTTCGATTCAAACATGTTTAAAATATAGTCAGTACGATTTCAGTACATCACGAATAACAGTAGAACAAGAAGAACACCCACATTCACTCGTTCGACTCATACCAAGTAGCTCGAGTGATGAATGTTCATCAGCTGGAGAAGAACAACAAAATACAACAACAAGGTTAGAGATTTGGTTTATCTTTTCTACTCTTTACACATTAGTTTAACTTTGTGACAAGGAAAAACATTAGCATGTGCCAAAGAAATTATCATAACACTCTCTACTTTTTCTTCCTACAAATTGCAGTGTTTTCTTTCTAGCACATCATCAGCTTGTCTTCGTCAACGTGGTAAACCATCGATTCGTTTCAATGCATCTAAAAATCGTGAAAAACAACTGTTATCATTACAACGAATGGAAGATCGCTTAAAAACATTACGTACTCATCCTTATCCCACTACTCAATTACCTACAAATAAGCCTTCAACAGTTGAGCCTCGTCATCAACAACAACAACAAAATTATAATTTATTTGAAGTAATAAACGGTTTACAAATGTTTGTATTAGATTTGAGAAATGTTATTACTGATCGAACGTGTCAATGGAAACCAATATCAACATTGAGTGTTCTAGGCAGTCCTAGATCTGTTATTTCTTATTCGCTGATATGTGCTCGATCAGAATTAATTCTATTTGGTGGTGTTGAAACAAAACGAACAATACAACATCAGACGCTACATCAAAAAGGAGAACGTCCAAAACCGTCAAAAGGATGTCTTTGTTTTATAACAAGTTCTCAGATCGCATTATGAAATACTATGTTTGCCTCATATCTTTCTTTCTTTTCCTTGTATGTATTTGTTTGCGTTTATTCTGTAAAAAGTTTGAAAATATGCAAGAATTATACACAAGATATATCAGTTTTCCACGTTTTTGTAAGTTTGAAATTTGAAATTATTTTTAGAAATTTAAATTCAGATTTAAAATTGTCAGAAAAAAAATACTTTATTTTACTGATGTTGTTCATCATTGTTTTTTAGGTTATTTTTTACACAAAAACATCGGACTATAATCTCACCATTTTTATCGTGCATCTGTTCTGTCTATCTATGTTGTCTATAAATTTTATCAGGATTTTTTGTTTGTGTATACAAAAACGTATTTTTCTATATTTATCGTTCTTTCGAATATTTACGTATTCTATGGTGATAAAGAATAACTATAGCTACAAGAACGAATTTTAATTGAAACACTGTGTATTATTCAACTTTTCACTACTCCATTATATTTTGGTTACATTGGTTTGGTATATAGTACTCGTAGCTCATCAAGTGTCAAGTATTTTAGAGTAGATGCTTGTTGAATTGTAGAAAATTGATTTTTATATTATAAAATTTAGAAATAGAAATACTTTAGGCCTCATTTTGCTACACCGATAGTATTACTAGCAATGACTCATCCTTTATGTGAAGCTAGAGAACGGTTTCCATTGTCGTTCTAAAATCTTCGGACTTTTTGTTTATCTGTCAGTCCTTCTTGAATAAGAGAAAGAACTGTATCGTCTTATTGATCAGATTTTGATTTTAATTCAAAGAGAGAGCATTTTAATTTATCTGTTGTTTATTTTTCATAAAGTAACACTGCCTAGAGAAATTAGATGTAGGTATGAGTAAGTATTAGCGGCACGTGCCGCAAACGTGAGACGCCACGTTCTTGTCTTGTTATTTCCAAAACAAGAAACGCCTCTTAATTCTAAAAAATAGTCAGACTCTTATTTACGCTTGTCTATAAAGAAAAAATGAAACTTGTAGCAATAATCAAGTATGACTGATGTTAAGCAGTGCTTGACTTGTTGCATACCTAACTATAGTATTCAATTATTTTGTATCTCAAAAACTCTGATAGCTGTTGATTTGAAATTTTATGTGGATGCAACTGACAATTCATCAAGTTTCAGCCCACTGACTTCACGATGCTTGAAACAGATCGATTTAACTAAACTGGCATTCGTTTTTGACCCAATGAGAACAGACACTTTATTTTGTGTTTCAAGCCATTTACGGTATAACTTTCATGTACTGGCTCTTACTGACGAACGAAACTTTTCCAGGTGATCTGCAGCTTTTCTTATTAAATCTGGTTTTTTCTAGGGTAATTCTTGATGCTAATCAAGAATTTTATGTCCGTTTTTTGTCCTTAGTGAGTTTCTGGTTAGATATTTAGAAGTCTGCAATTGTTGATTAACATCAAGAATTACTCTAAAAAGTAACTAGTTTTAATAAGAAAAGCTTTGTATATCTGAGAAGATTCTCTCGTACGTAAAAAAGATTTTACGATCGATCTTTAGAGTTGTTTAACTCGACTGAAAAACAACCTTTTGTCTTGAAATTTTCAAGAAACGTTGTCCTACCTAACAATAGTATTGACAGAAGTTTCAAGACTAAATGCCGGACAAATTATTTGGATCAAATGCGAATAAATAATGAAACATCTCTAGTCGCTATCCTATATATATATATATACATTTTCGAAAACATAAATTTAATGATAAATGTAAATCGTATGTATACCTGTACTTCTATCAATTGTCGATGATATGCTAAATACTGTGTCGGTGGTAATAAACAACACTTCGGTTAAATTGACATCGACAAACTGCAACCCAAAGTTAAAATTGGATGTCTCATAGAATAAAACGTAAGAAGATTTTCTAGGACTTCTAAATCAGAATAGTCATGAAAGTATGCTTCATATCACATTTTTAAAACATACTAATGACAAATGATAACAGTTGCTTAGAAAGCAATCTCCCATAATAATGATAGAGTTTGTTCACCACTGTGAATTCTTTCTTACTCTTGATTGCACCTTTTGGCTTTTTTTTGAGTGAACAAGAGCCAATTTATAATAAACTCAATGATTTAAATATTAACAGTCGGTTGGTGCAAACAACAAACATGTTTCATTATCTTGTTGTTAGCTTTATAGTTTAACAAATTTTTAGTATTGAAAACTTACAAAGTAATACTTAATTATAATATTCAAATTATCCATTATATAAGGTACCGGAAATTCAAAATTTCAGCAAAATTTTTTTTTTTACTTTATTATGTATGGTTGGATAGAGCGCATCGAGCTGATTCAGAAAATAGGTGTTTTCATGTTCGAAAAATGCTTCGGTTTCAAAACAACTCAAATTTTTTTCTTTTTCGTTCATCTAACTTTTTGGACGTAGTTTTTTGCAGATTCAGCATTAAAAACTGAATATGAAAATGATATACATTTTTTATCCTATCCGACCCATTTTAAGTTTCCTTGAATTTTTACGATGAAAAATGACTGAGGTTTTCACCAAAAAAGTGAAAATCGACGAAAATTTTTAAAATCTACAGGGTGTCACATAACCTTTGCCTCCCCCTCTATAACCTAAAGTATCAATGGTATCACAAATGTATTTTATACCAAATTAAAGTGCCTTAAAACTTGGGTTTATTGGTACTAAATAGTAAAGATTGTGACGGCCTTTTAATGTCGAACTTAAGACATGTTCAGAAATTTGATGCTTTTTTTCGATGGAACTTAAGGTGTCAGTAATTCAAAAATGGAGTAAAATTTTTTTCTTGGACATTTTTACATGGTCCGATAGAGCTCGTTGAGCTCTACAAAACTGTATATATTAAAAAAATTTTGAGGCATCTTTTTGAAATAAAAAATTCAAAAAACTACTCGGAAAATCGCAAAGAATATTAAAAAATGTATTTTTTCCCATATCGAAGAAAAACATTCGATTTTTCAATAAAATTAGCTTTTCTCATTATTTTTGCTACCTCCGACGTTTCGAAATATACTCATTTGATGTCGCGTGAAAAACTGCATGGATTAAGTACATTTCAAAACGCAAAAATAATGAGAAAAGC